CATGGCTTCCTTAACACTGCTAGGTTCATCCAAATTTACCAGTGTACTATCACTGATAAATGTATCACCTTCCGTAGTAATATGAAAGCTATAATAAAACGCAGGTGTGTTCCTAACCTGTGTGGAACGCCTCGGAGGTACAGACTCGTCAGCTGGCTCAATAGGAGTTTCCTCCTCAGGTTGATTGCTAGTGTCTGAGGTTCCTTCACCAATTGATTCTTGAATTTCCTCAAAATCATTTCGCCTCCCACTGTCTCCTTGGCATATAAATTCTCTCTCACGAAAGACCCCTCTTCTTGCTACAAAGACCACATTCTCACTGGGTCTGTAGAAGAGGTAACCGAAGGATTTCTGTGGGTAGCCGATGAAAATACACCTTTCACTTCGGGGTTCGAGCTTATCACGAGTTTCACACCTCACGAAAGCTTCGCAACCCCAAATTTTGATGTGGTCCAAATTGGGAACCTTCCCAGTCCACATCTCATGAGGTGTTTTGGTAACCTTCTTTGTAGGGACTATATTAAGGATATGGGCGGCAGTCTCTAAGGTATACCCCTAAAAAGATATTGGTAGCGAAGCTCGACTCATCATAGAGCGAACCATGTCTAACAAGGTTCGATTACGCCTCTCAGCTACACCATTTAGTTGTGGTGTCCTGGGAGGAGTCAATTGTGATACAATCCAACACTCCTTAAGATAGTCAAGGAACTCGGTACTAAGATACTCACCACCTCGATCGGATCGAAGCATCTTAATGTTCCAGCGCAATTGATTTTCTACTTCCTGTTTGAATTCCTTAAACCTTTTAAAGGTTTCTGACTTATGTTTGATTAAGTAGACATACCTATATCTACTAAAATCATCAATAAAAGTGACATTATACCGATTAGCATCCCTTGTGGCGGTTTTGAATGGTCCACATACATCAGTATGTATTAGGTCCAACAAACCCTCACCCCTTTCACAAGTTCCAGTGAAGGGTGATTTTGTCATCTTTCCAAGTAGACAAGATTCACAACTATCATCCGATTTAAGGTCGAATGACTCCAAGACTCCACTTCTGGAGTTGGCCTATACATTTCTTGTTTACATGTCCAAGATGACAATGCCACAATGATGCTTTATCTAGGCTAGTAGAAGAATCAATATACAACACATTATTTCCTAAGTTGTCTACAATCGACACAGTTTCATACACACCATCACAAGGTAATGCTTTAAAATAAAACACGTTATTAGAGAAAGCATTAATACCACCACATTCATTATCAAATGAAAAGGTAAAACCTTGTTTGTACAAAGCATGAAAGGAAATAATGTATTTAGACTTCCTAAGTGTGCATGAAAGGAAATAACACTTCCTAAGTGTAAATACACATATGTTAAAGGTGTGCATGAAAGGAAATAACATTTCCTTTCATGCACACCTTTAACAAATGTATTCACATATGTTCTGATTTGCAGGGCCTAAGAAGAAGTGAGGATGTGGAGCACGGGAAGATAAACTTGATCATGGGGAATAGGAAGGCTTCACCTGTTTCCAAGATTGGAGTTTATACTTTGTTTCTGAATAATGGGTTAAACCTTGTTTGAATAAATGTGTGTATTAATGTTTGTCTAAATACATGTGTTAAACCTTTCATGTTTAAATACATTTGTTAAAGGTGTGCATGAAAGGAAATAACACTTCCTAAGTGTGCATGCAACCCTAATAAACCTTGGATCTATGTTTGTCTAAATACATGCAAAATAATAATTTTCCAAGGTTCATAACCTATCTAACATGGCATGGGGTACTTTTAAACATAAAAGAATTAGATGAGATTACATACCTTTTTGATGAGTTTGATTCTTAAGGAGTTTGAGGGCCAAGCACCAATAGTGTGAATGCCTCAAATGGAATCACAAATCACCACAAACTCTTGGAAAACTTTGAGAGAGTGTATACACACTATAATTTCGGCCACACACAAACACATACACTAGTGGCTATTTCATGCAACATAAGCATGCTTATATAGTGTGCATGGTTAGGGTGAAACCCTAATAACCCATGACATTTCCTTTTCCAAGGATCCATGGGTTAAAAGCTCCATGGATCATCCATGGACTTCCATACAAGCCTAGCCCATTAACAAATGAGTGTTAGCCCACACCATATAAAACCAATAGCCCACAATCTAATTAGTCTTCCTTTTAATCTCTAAATTAATTCATAATTAATTTAAGACTAAGACTAATTAAATAACATGACTTCATATTAATATATTATAACTTATAATATATTAATAATCATATGTGTATAACTCTCATAAAATTATCCGTAAATAGTTCAGGTGAAGTGCAACCCAAATGGACCATGCCGGGTTGGGTCAAGTATATACCAAGTAAGTTATGGACTTAGACACCTTATCCAACATCACAAACACCAAGAACAAGAGGATGAAGAAGAGAAGAGAAAGAGGCTGCCCAAAACCGTCCAAAACCGTAGAGAATAAGTTCCTCACGTTTTTGGGGTTTAAGGGTTCTATATATAGTGAGGCTATTAGGGTTATCTAACAAGGAAACCCTAATTTGGATGCTTAAGCCCTAAGCAACCCATGGACTCCTTTATTTAAGGCCCTTGGACGATTTCTTATGGGTTTCCCCATAGAATTCGTCCAACCTTATATAATAAGGCAATCCATAGCCCAATTGCAATTATCTTATAATTACAATTCGAGTCCCTTAAGTTTAATTAATCTCTTTTAGTAACAAACTCAATTCTTATTAATTCTTGACTAATATTAATTAAACAATATGATTTCTCCTTTAATATATTATTCCCATAATATATTAATAAATCATAGTTAATCCTTTCTTTTCATAATTCTTCCTATCAAGTTGCTTTGGTGAAGGCAACCTAAAAGGACCATGCACCATCGGGTCAAGTACATACCAAAATAGTTATGGACTTAGACACTAATCCAACAGAAAGTACGTGAAATGTCTCACAAAACTTATTATAAAATAGATTTACGTATGAAAATGTGCATTTGTTCTTGTGTATTGAAAATATCGTTTTGATATAGTGTTTCTAGTATGTAAATGTTCATGATTTTCTCGTAAACTATACCTATTATAGTTTTTCAAAGTGTGTGTTTCGTTCATATAGTAAACCCTAGTGTAATGCTCGCTTGTTATGTAAAGTATAACATATAAAGTGACATAAATGATCACTTATACTTAAAGTATAAATAAAGTGTTTTATATGTATGTATATATATATATATATATATATATATATATATATATATATATATATATATATATATAAACATGTTTTATTTCCAAAAGACAAGATGTTATCGAGAATATATATTGCATACGAAAGTTCTCATGTAGTAATTTTGAATCACATATGATTACTAGATAAAAAGTTTATATAGTGAAACTTTAGGTTACACACGATAATGATGAATTATATGTGGTGGTCACTAACTCAGTCACTAAAATGCAAAATAATTAAACTGCTTTTGTTTCATATCATAAAACTATTTAGTGACTAAAAATAATGGTCACTATGTTAATTATATAGTGACTAAGGATAAGGGCAATATGTTAGAAGTTTAGTGACAAAAAAATGGTCACTATATTGAACGTTTAGTGATCATAAAAATAGTGATCACTGACTACTTCTGTTAAAAATGCTCACGTATTCTCTAAATGATGTGGAAAAACAGTTAGTGACAAGTAATAGTGATCACTGATGAAATAAAAGAAAAAAACAATTAGTGACCATTAAGTAAGTGGTCACTGACTATACATATTTGAAAAGAATTGAAAAAATAAAAAGAGAAACACATTAGAAAAATAAAAGTTGAAAAAAATTGTATTTATATTTGACTCAATAAGGAGACTTGACTAATTTTGACTAAATAAGGAGCTTGGCTAATTTTTTAAACACGATTAATTGGTTTAGTAAGGAAGATAAACAAGTTGACTAATTTTGACTATCGATACTATGCCCTAAATCGACTATAACACATCTCTTTTGCCCTAAATCGATACACCAACAATCCCAGTTTGACAGCATCGCACCGATCCATCATCATTGGTCCGTTGTTGCCAGTCCATCGTCACTTCACACCCTCCCATTGACGCACCTTTGTTCTCCACTCAAAGTCAAAATCGAAGTAAAACAGGTACTCCATACTCGCATGATCAGATAAGTCAATCGATTGCGTGACTATCAACTTCGTTTTCTAGGTTGGCGGTCCATCGTCCTCCACACCCTCCCATTGTGCACCTATGTTCTCCACTCGAAGTCAAATAGGTACTCTACCCTGATCCGTTTTTCAAATATAAATTACATCATGAACACATGTATAAGTTCAAATTCTTTCATCATTCTTTAATAGGTCACAACACCAAATCACTTGCCATCTTTTAGTTTTTAGGGCTTTCTGACCTATGTCTTGATAAAAGTGGTGACTATCTTCAATGGGATTATGCAACTTATATGAGTAATTTAGGTAGTACTTTGTTTACTAGCGTGATTTCTCCAAGGATTAGGGGACAAGGATTTAGGATTGCTGCATGCCCTACAACAGAAACCTGATCATACAAAAAAAATCATAATTTAATTAATAATTTGAATTTAGATGCTTACAAGTATTAACATTAGGAATCAGCTTTATTTTCCATCTTTCTCTATTTGTAATCTTTTTGCTATATTATTGTTTCATCATCAAAAATAACCCTAGAAATCAGCTTGTCCGGTTTCGTCTAGTTGTCTTCTAGTTTCCATGTAAATTATTACAAGTGTAGCCTAATAAATTAAGTTTCAAAGTTGAAGATGGATAAAGGGCATGGAATAATGATGCAACAATTCTAAACATGCTAAATAATCAATTACAACATATGAAAATACAGTGGAAATATGCTATGCAATCATTCCATTGTTTTGATGATTACTTGTAACTTGTGAACAAGCAGATAAACAACACCACAAATCCTTTTCATTTTTCACCTAAATCGTTAGTGTTTTGCTTCTTATTTGCAATGGGGACCACTTGTTTCTCATGCTTATGTGGCGATGATTTTCTTTGACTATCTTTATACCCTTCCGACCAAATTCCCGATATTGCCCCTACGACCACCTCTCCACTTTTAATGTTATTATTATGTTGTGAACCAGGTTTCACATGCATGGGCTTTACTTTAACCTTTGTGAAATCATCAAGATGATCATCAACAACAAGTTTTACAGATTTCAGACTTGTTCTTCCAATTCCATAGATCTTTCCTTTACTTGAATCAAGATTCCAGTAATTTGAACTTTTTTCACCTTGTTTGAACAAATTATTTCTCTCAAACCGCTTTTTATTACCCCCCTGAGGGCTCTTTTTGTAAATTCTCATGAAGCTTACCCATTTCTAAATCTGAAAGCTCTCTTCATACTATAAAAAAACTCTCTTTTTGTAAAAAAGTTTAAAGATAAAAAAACTGAAAGAGGAATGTTGTAATAGAAATAAAGGGACTATATTTTGGTCATTATTACAGTTTAACCACTCTACTTCATACTATAAAAAAACTCAAAAAAGTGTCAAAACTTTGGTGACTTTCATGGTTAATTTCGATTTAAAGTAGTTAAACCACAAAAATATCCAAAATATGAACCAAAGTAAGACACAAAGAAAAAAATAAGGTTGCATAATCCTTCTGTTAGAAAGATGTTAGCAAGATACCTGGCAGAAACAAGAGTTGACCAGATTACTTATATAATGTCTTGTCACTATTCATCTAATTCTCATCAATTCACTATTACATTTATGGAATATCTCTTAATTAGTTATGATGTTTCCAATTATTTTCATTATTTCAGAGGATAGCAATTGGATAAATTGTTACAACACAGTGTGAAATTTGGACTCCCTGTCAAACCTGCAAGAAAGAACCGTTCTTGGGGGTTTATATTTGGCACCGTTGAGAACTTAAATTCATTCATTGTCAACACATCTCGCTTACATCATAAAACTTTCAGATTCTACTTTAGACTATTTGGCATGCTAGTTTATCTTTAATAGATTTGTAAGTTAGTAGTACATTTTAGTTTCTATCTCATATACAAAATTTAGATTAGCTTATTGCTTAATTTAACAATCCCACCTGAGTTTTTTGTTTCACTGTCATTATACATTTATGCTATTTTCAGGAAATTTTCTTTTACCATAGCATATGGATAAGTCTTGGATGAATATAGTTCATAGGATAAAGGATCTAAGATATGAGTTGGGTGTGAATGAATTTCTTAATTTTGCATTCTGCGATACAGAAGTGTTATCAAAAGTTCCATGCCCTTGCAAAAAATGCAATAATTTTCGACATCATAACCGAACAACTATATTCTCACATTTGATGCAAATAGGAATTATTGTTAGTTATGTTAGGTGGATATATCATGGTGAATCATATGATACGTCAGATGATGATATATCAATTGATGAAGTTGATGGGGCTAGTGATGACTTAAATGATGATGACCTTGATGAGATGTTAAATAAAATAGGTCAAAGTAAATGGGGTGATAATTGGCAAGCTAGTGGTGATTCTTCATGTACCTTAGACAAGGATTTAGAATCCCTCGGAAGATTAATGGATGAATCGCACTGTAAACTTTATGAAGGATGTCAAAGTTACTCACAATTTTCATTTATCGTGACAATTTTACATCTAAAGACAACAAGTGGCTGGTCCATCAAATCATTTGATGCTTTGCTTGATATATTTAGAAAAGCCTTGCCAACTCCATCATTAGTCCCAAAGAACTTTTATGAAGCAAAAAAATACATACGTGATTTGGGTTTTCAAGGAGAAAAAATTCACTCATGTGTTAATGATTGTGATCTTTATCGAAAACAATATGCCTCTCATACCCACTGCCCAAATGACGACTGCAAAGAGCCGCGATTTAGCGGAAATGATTTGAAAGTACCATGAAAGGTGCTTCAATACTTTCCTCTTAAACCTAGACTTAAAATATTGTTTATTGATAAACAAGTTGCTTGTGACATGAGGTAGCATAAGGAAAAACGAGTCAATGATGATAATATAGTTAGACATCCTGCGGATACTGAAGCTTGGAAACATCTTGATAAAGAGTTTCCTTCATTCTCTATTAATCCACGTAATATACGCTTAGGGTTGGCAACATATGGATTCAATCCATTTGGTAACTTAAGCAGTTCGCATAGCATATGGCCTATCTTTGTTGTATCGTACAATTTGCCACCGTGGAAATGCATGAAAGACCCATATATATTCATGCCAATGTTAATTCCAGGTCCCTCATCACCTGGAATTAATATTGATGTCTACCTACAACCTCTAATTTACGAACTAAATGACTTGTGGGTTGGTGTAAATGCTTACGATGCACTTAGAAATGAAACTTTTACATCACGAGCAGCCCTTTTGTGGACAATGATTTTCCAGCATATGGTATGCTCTATAGTTGGAGTGTTAAGGGCTACAATGCTTGTCCTACATGTATGGATGAAAAATCATCTCGTTACTTGACTCATAGTAAAAAAATGTGCTATATGGATCATCGAAGATTCTTGCTAGCCTCAAACAAATGTCGTAAGGATAAAAAGAACTTTGATGGGACGATGGATATGCGGGAACCATTGACACCAAAGTTTGGAAATGAAATTTTGGCTGATGTTGATATGTTTTCTAACTCAAGAAAACGTAAGTCTAGAGAGGACAAACAAGGATGGAAAAAGAAAAGTGTGTTCTTTAAGCTTCCATATTGGGCTAAACTAAAATTAAGGCACAACACTGATATCGTGCATGTTGTTAAGAATGTGACAGAAAGCTTGATAGCCACATTATTCAATATTAAGAATAAAACAAAGGACACATGGAAATCTCGCAAGGATTTAATGGATGAAGGTTTAAAGAAGATCTTACATTTATAACCATAAGACAATTCATTTATAATGCCTATGGCTTGCTACCATTTGACAAAGGAAGAGAAACAAAAGATATTAGATGTCTTGAAGTCACTTAAGTTCCCAGATGGATTTGCCTCGAATATATCTAGATGCATTAAGGGGGGGTGGGACTTCGAGTTGTCACGCATGAAAAGTCATGACTTTTATGTTTTCATCCAACGGTTGTTGCCTTTATCAATTAGGGGTTGTTTGACAAAGGAAGTTCGACTTGTGTTGTGCGAACTCAGTGATTTTTTCCAGAAATTATGCACACGAAGTATGTACCCAGATGTTTTAGATGAACACGAGGAAAAAATTGTTCTCATATTATGTAAGTTGGAGCGGATATTTCCTCCATCATTCTTTGACATCATGGTTCATCTTTTGATTGATTTGCCATATGAAGCCAAGATCGCAGGCCACCTCAATAAAGTTGGATGTTCCCTTTTGAGAGGAAAATGGGTACTTTAAAAGGATATGTCAAGAACAAAACTCGTCCAGAAGGATGTATTGCTGAGAGATACATAGACAAAGAATGCCTAAATTTTTGTTCTATGTATTTGAATGTTGTTGACAGGCTTTTCAATAAGGTTGAGCGCAACAACGAAATGATGGATAGTGATGGTGAAATTTCCATTTTTTCATGTAAATGGCGCACATTAGGTAGTCCAAAAGCATGGGATTTGAGTGAAAATGAATTGGAGAAGATTCATACATATATTCTAAACAATTGTGATGAAATAAAGGAACTAATAAAGTAAGTGATTCTTTTTATGTAATTATATTTTTCTTTTTCTTTTTCTTATAATAACAAGTCTTAATTGTTAACTTTTTAGCTCACACAAAGTTGAACTAGAGGAAGAAAAGTCTGACAATGTAAATGAACGTTATGACAAACAATTTGCATCATGGCTTCGCCAACGTGTAAGAACTCCTTTTCATGTTTATTGTTTTAAAATTTAATATGGGAGTTTTAAACTCTTGTCAACCAATATGTTATATATTTTTATTTAGGTTAATTCTTGGCCATAATTGTTTGAATACGAAACTCGTATATTATCGCATGGGCCATCACGTTATGTCAAAAAGTATAGTGGATGTTTGGTTAATGGGTATAGGTTCCACACACAAAGTCGTGAGAAGAATCGGAAAACTCAAAATAGAGGATAATGCAAGGTGTTCATGAGGAAAACATTATTGATTTTTATGGGATATTACAAGAAGTGTTAGAAATTGAATACTTGGGTGAAAATAAAAGGGTGTTAGTATTCAAGTGTGATTGGTTTATGGTCGGTGATAAGAAAAGGCTAAGAATTGACAAAGAATCCAAAGTTAAAAGTGTGAATACGTCCAAAAAGTGGTACATAGATCAACCATACATACTTGCATCACAAGCCAAACAAGTTTTTTATGCACTTGATTTAAAATTGGGCAAAAATTGGTATGTGGTTCAAAGTAGTACCCCTCGTGCATTGTATGATGTTTATGTAATGATGGAAGAAGTGCATCAAGAACAAGAGCCACATCTAAATCTTACTGTGGATTTGAATATGGACAAACTATCCTTAACAAGAGATAATGTTCCATTGGAAGTGGTGGATGACTTAACCATTGCATTGCATGATATAACTAAAAAAAACATGTATAAATGCACGTTTTTAGGAGAGGTATTTATATTTTTTATGCTAAAATGAATAATAAATACAGTAACAATATTTTTGCTCATAGATTTGACAATTAATTAAACAGGTGCAATGGAAGGCATAAATAAAATGGTAGCAAAAGAATAAAGGTTCAAAATAAAAGTTCAACCATTATGTTGATTTTCAAGTTTAGAATAAAAGTTCAGCCTTTTTGCTGTTTTTCAAGTTCAGAATAAAAGTTCAGCCTTAGTGCTGTTTTCAAGATTACAATAACGACAACGTACTTCCCTTTTCTTATTAATGCAATTTATCTACAATATAAGTATGTATTTATTTGATCTTTAGTTCGATTTCATTTCTTTATCTTCTTTCTTTATACCTTGATGATGTATGATTAAACACATTTATTCACTAATTCATTTATGTATTTGTAGCATCTTCAGAGTTGCATCAGTCTAAAGAAGATTGTCTTTAGTGAAAAGGTAACCTTTTATTTGTGTTCAAGACTACATATTTTTATGTATTATTTTATAGTTAAACTAATCAGTAGCTTGTTACATATTTTGTTAATTTTATGAAAATGACCATTTTGACCTGAAATTTATATTTTAAATTAGTTGTTGATAACTTTTTCAAAAGAATTGTAGTTGTGCATGCTTGTTGGAGTCCAAATTTACATGATGAAATTTATCTCTAGACCCTCGTTACCATCTCCAAAGCTAAGCAACATCAATTACTAAACTAAACAATCTCTTAGGACCATATAGCAGTTCTTCAATT